GTTATGAGGACGTTGTGAGGACGTTGTGTGGATGTTGTGGGGACGTTGCGAGGACGTTATTCCTGCGTTATGAGGACGTTGTGGGGACGTTGCGAGGACGTCCAGGTGTCTGTCTCCTGGAGGCAGAGCCACATGGACTTCTTTGAAGAGCAGCTCTGCTCCTAAATATTAACTTCAGCTCAAGGAACAGATGTTATTTAGGATCTTTGGATGTTTTTATTTCACTCCATAAATCAGGAAAAATAATTTTTTGTCACATTTTCAGAGTTAAAATATTCTGTTTACACGGTAATAAAATAAAGAAATCTGTTAAAGATAAAGACAAACATCTGTAAAGTACTGATAGTTTACAGCCACACGTTGTAAAAGGTCAAACTCCTGTTTGTATTAATACAGGGTTGGGATGTGGACATTATTCAGTTTTGTTTTTTTAACCCTTTATATTTATCGTATCGATCACGTGTTGGACGTCTGGTGATTAATCAGAATCTTTATTTCTTGTTCCAACTGTTGGACCAGAACTTTCAGGGCTTCAGTCTGTGTTTGGTTGAAGTCTGTTGATCCGGTTCTAGATCTGGCTCCTGTGTCACCATTTAAAAGGAAAAAGATTGAACAGGTTCTGTGTTGGTTCCGTCCTCCGCCTCGTTTCATTCGGTTCAGCCGAGTCGTCTCCACCTCATCCTGCAGCAGCTCTTTGAACAGTCCTCAGAGGAACAACAAGAAGAATTCCTGCTTCATACCTGAATTAAAGCCGAAGCCGCTCCTCTCACACGTATGTTAATGCACAGAGCGAGAAATGTTCAGAATCCTGAAGGCGAATGAAACCTGGTGGAGCCTTCAGGGGACAGGTTCAGTCCATTAAGAGTCTCAGGAAGACAGAACCAGAAGGCGGACTGCACTAACAGAAGTTTACCGTCACGTCCTGGTCGTCTGAAGGCTCATCGATAGATGAATCACTTCCATTATCTGCTCTCAGTCATGGAAGAGAAACGTCTTAGTTCTGATCACAGCTTCTTCTTGGAGCCAAAGTCAATAACTCACTTTATTTTGTATTTGTTGTGAATGTGTGAGTTTGAGCTGCTTCTCGTTGTGTGTCTGCAGCGTGAGGAGGCCTTGAAGCAGAAGAAGGAGCTTTCACTGGAGCTGTCCAACCTCCGGGACGAACTCGGTAAGATTCTGTCTTCTCAATGGAATAAACATAAAACTGAACAAGTTCATCAGCAAACCGTCATTTAAACCTGGCGACTTGGTGTTGGGACACTGCAACTGCTCAGAGCGAGAAGCTGTGCAAGAAAACCCAAATAAAACGACGTAAAACCCCCAAAAAACAAATCATACCTCAGCAACCCCCTCCCAAAAAGTCAAGAAAACCCAAATCAAACCCAGTAAAATCCAAATTAAACCTCAATAAAGACCCCAAAACCCAGGAAAACCCAATAACACTCAATAACCCCCCCCCCCAAAAAAAAGAAACCCAATAAAACCTGAGAAAAACCCAGTAAAACCCAAACTGAACCCAAATAATACCCAAGAAAACCCAATAAATTCCCCCCAAAAACCCAGTAAACCTAATAAAACTCAACAAAGCCCAAGAGACCCCCCAAAAAAACCAAATTAAACCCCAACAAAGCCCCAAGAAGACAAGAAAACCCAATAAAACCCAGTAAAGTAGGAGGAGGTCCAGACAGAGACTGAAGTACTCTGTGTGTGTACTACTGCACAGAGTACTTCAGGCTGTGTGTGTACTACTAGTACTTCACAGAGAAAACTTCCCTTTCTGTCTGGACCTCCTACTTTCCCTCCATCAGCTCCGACTCGACGCTTTTCTTTGACTGCGTCTTTGACCTTTGACTTCACACAGAGCTGAGGAATGTCAGCAATGCATGGAGGCTCACACACACACACTCACACACACACACACACACACACACACACACACACTCTCTCTCTGAACAGGATCGACCTGTTTCCGTTCGTTTCTCTGCTTTAATAGTTTTCTGCTGACTGACTGTAACGTCCTCAGTTTAAATAAAAGCTTTAATTTGTGATGAAACCCATAAAAACAATCAGAGCAGCAGCACCGGGACGGAAAACAACCAAACACGTCTGAACCGGACCAGATTTTCCTCTGAACATATTTCAATAAACGTTCCAACATCTCAGCAGACATTAAACGATGAGAGAAAAGCAGGTGTGTGTTCGTGTCCAGGGACGATTATGAAACCGGATGTGAAGCAGCTGAGACAGAAACGAGCTTCACAGGGTTATAAAATATGAGATAATGATGAATTAACCAAATTAAATCAGACTGCAGTCGCTTAAGTGGGACCTAAAACCTGAATTTGCTTCAGTTCTAGCTGCACATGAATGTTGGTGCTGATGAAACTTTAGCAGAGAAACTTATTAGTCGGCAGACAAACGGGTCGACGTCTGTACATCGGCGGCGCTGCAAACCCGTCCATCAGCTCAGAACTCAGAGAAAAACACGGCAGACGGACTGCAGAGGAACAAACCCGTTGACAGGAAGGAGAACGTTTAATCAGCAGGTCGGTTTACACAAGTCTGACCTGTGCTTCAACAGAACCATGAAAACAACAACCAGCAGCAGCAGCCTGATGAGCCAGTGTTCAGCTGAACCAGCCTCTGAGCCAATCACTGCCATCAGGTGGTTCCTGTAGCTCCCATCAGACCGGTGCACCTGTTGACAGGTGTTCTGGCCCACTGCTCATCAGCAAAGGCTCTCATTGGTTTGTTTGATTTCATTATTCTGTTCAACCACAATTCAAAGCAGCGTCTGATTTCACTGAATCATCATTTATCATTTATTTATCATTACTTTATTTCCAGTTATTTCAGTGACTGTCATGAGTTTAGTCTTTTCTTTCGTGGACTCTGAGGACGCCGTACCGGTGATGATCCATCCGCCGTGTTTGGTGCCTGATTCTGTCACGTGTGTGATTGTGCGCGGCGAGTGTTTCAGGCAAAAATAATAAATCCTGCTGATGACATGGAGGTCTCAGAGTGTGATCCTCTGAGCGTCAGGAGGTCAGAGAACAGAGGAGATCTGTAAAACCACCTCAGGTTGTTCTGAGAAGCTTCAGCTGAAAACTTTTCTCACACTTTTGTTGTTTTGTTTGAGAGTAAATCCACGCCGTGATGTTGGCGACTTGTCTGCGTCGCTGTTCGGACTCGTTCAGACCGTTTCTGCTGCCAAACACCTGCTGCACACACACACACACACACACACACACACACACACACACACACACTTTTGTCGGTCAGCTGCTGCTGGCTTTGTGTCTCCATCACCGTGGCAACAGCCGCTCAGGCCACAGAGCTTCATTCAGAGAAACGGCGGCAGCTGCTCGCGCCTCGGCGTGGAGGAGGTGAAGCTGCAGGGAGACGAGCCCGCGAGGCGTCCAGGCTTCATACCTGAGCTCGCGTTGGGATGTTGGACTCATGGAGGAGGAATGCAGCACACGTGTCGAGACACTCCGTGTTCCAGGCGTGTCCGTGCAGTCTGACATAACGGGAAGTCACGCTGCGTGATTAATGTTTAACCCTCCGAACCCCAGAACCCGCCGACAGCATGACAGGAATGTTCAGAGTTCAGAAGCTTCAGGTGCTCGTTTTTCATCATTTAAAAATCCAATAAAAATAAATAAACATGTTGTTTTCAGCGTTTAGAGGAAACAAACAAACAAACAAAGTGGACTTCATGTCCTGATGAAGGCGTTCTCACCGAGTCACGCTGCACAGACGACACATGACGTCTGTCTGCTGCATCCACGCTTAGAAACGTCTGTGGACGCTCAGACAAATGTTGTTTCTCTAATGTTAGTGAAACGATAAATCAAAGAACGTTCCCCCTCCTGCTCAGACCCTGCTGGTGCTTCATGCCCGTACCTTTCTGTGTTTGCAGCGTCGTCGTCGCAGTGCTGCGAGCGCCTGCAGAAGGAGAAGGAGGAGGTCCGGCTGGGCTTGGAGGAGGCGCTGAGGAGGCTGGAGGAGCAGCACAAGGAGGAGCTGGTGCAGCTGGAGGACAGGTGCGCTGCTCACCTGTCAGCACACTTCTGTCTGCTCTGATTCTCCTGGTTTCTGACTTTGCTTCCTGCTGTGTGCTCAGACTGAGGAGCTTCTACCAGACGGAGTGGGACAAAGTTCACCAGGCGTACCAGGAGGAGGCCGACAGGTGTCGCATGCTGATGGAGCAGCAGGTCAGAACACAAGCACACGGTTACAGTCAAAGGGGGTCCTCAGAGACGGACTCAGCCGTCACTCAGTCATGGTCAGGTTAATTAGACTAATTTAGAGAAAACAGACTCTTCAGCCAGATTCCTACAAAGTCATGTCAATTAGTTAGAATATAAAATGTTCAATAGGTCCCACAGTCAGTGAACGCATCATCTGAGATCAGTGGTTGTAGTTTAAAGACTCGTGTATCTGGAAGGTCCGGTCCCTGGAGACGATACCAGAACATCTCCAAGTTCCTGAAGCTCTCTGGAGTCCAGTTAGATCCATCATTAAGACATGGAAGGAACATGGACCATGAGTAGATCTGACTAGAGCAGGACGTCCTCAGAGACTGAGCAAGAAGGAGACTAGAGAAGGAGGCCACCAAGCCTTGTGAAGGTAGAGGGTGAATGAATGCAGCAGAGTGTAGAGAGATCCTGGAGGACAACCTGATGCAGTCTGCAGGAGAACTGAGACGTGGAGAAGACTTGTTTTCATCCTAAAGACCGAGTCTGAACAGTTTGATCAGAACAATGAGGTGAAGCTGTTCAGATGTCCAGGCTGATGGAGACCTACAGGACCAGTGATGGAGCTGCAGCAGTTCCACTTTGACATGAACGAGTCTTTTCTGTAACTTCTTGTGAAACTGACCTGAGACCTGGTTGATCAACGAGCTGCAGCATGTCGTCTGCAAACAGCCTCCAGATCACATCTGGCCCATAAAACCCAGTTCACTGTGAAGCGCTGAACACGACGGCCGACATAGACGACGCTCCGCCACGCAACAGGACGTGTAGACGAGGACGAGGCTCATGCTGAGCTCTGATTGGCTCACGGCAGCTCCATGTGACTTGGCTGCTCATAAAACCTGTGTAGAGGTTTATGGCTGTCGCCGTGGTTACACCGTAAACAACAGGCGCGTTATCGTCTGTGAGGACACGCTGATCTGCTCCACACTGTAGAACATGTTTAACACTAACATGTTCCACGTTGGTGTTAAATGATAGATATGCACAGAAACAACACGTTCATTCACACGTTGACGATAAAAACTGGTCAAAACTGGAAATAATGTCACAAACCGGTATTTTAATAATCATAGATTTTACTCAGTATTTGGTTGTTTTAGTGTGTTGCAGTAAAATTAGTTTCATTCTGTTTAAATCAGATGAAAACACCGTTTTATTACAGATATTTCCACCATTTTACAGTTTTTAACACGTTTTTAGTCGTCGTGCTGCCAGATGTTTATCGTTAACTCATTTACTTTGTACAGGATTATTATATTTATGACGTTACAGAGATCTGGAGGTTAAACTCGCAGCTTCACGGCCGTGTGATGAAGCTCAGTCTGTCAAACCTGACTTCCTGTTGCAGGTGGAGGAGCTGAGGAGCCGACAGGAAGCCGAGAGGAGGAGCCAGGAGGAGAGCCACGGCCAGACCATGGAGGCCCTCAGGCGGCAGTACGAGGCCTCGGTGGAAGGTCAGAGACTCGCGACTCGGTGCCGAGTTCACACAGCAGAGACTGTTGACCTGCTGACTCCATGATGTTTGTGTTTGATTTGCTCCAGAGCTGCAGAGGCAGCAGCAGACGGAGGTGGACGCCCTGCAGAAGGCTCTGACGGAGACGGAAGCTTCTCTCTCTGTAAGAACGCCGCTCCAACCACACGGCTGGAGTCTGTGTCTCCTTTGTGTCGTTTTGTTGTTGTTTTCATTGTGCGTCATGTTGTCCTGTTTACTGTTGGTTTATGTCCCACTTGTGTCGTTGTTGGACCAGTTTTAAGACATTTTTAAAGATTATTTCAACATTTCTGGACAACTTTACGTCTTTTTGACCATTTTATGTGAGTTTACAGTTTTGTTTACACTGATTTTGCTCAAGTTTGTGTCAGTTTGGACTAAATTTCCACCAGAATATGAGTAACGATCACGTTCTGATCCATTCATTGATCCAGGAGGTTGTGCGATGAAGTTAGTTTTTTACAGAATCCGATTAACACAAACTTTATATTTTTGGCAAATGTTTGGATTTTGATGGAATATTCAGATTTTAGTTTAGTTTTCCTGATGAAAGCGTCCGTCACCCATGATGTGTACGTGAGCCACCAGACAGCTGAACGTCACATTTATTTGTTTTTTCAGTTTCTTGTCCAGACAAAAGAAGAAATCTGGAAGTTTTATAAAAGAAGGTGAATCTGTCGCATCCTCTGGCGTGTTTTGGGGCTCGCTGAATTAACGATGCACAGTTTTAACGTGCTGAGAGTGAAATGCAGCTTCTGCAACAGAAAACTTTTCCCACAGTTGCCTCGTTGACCGCAGATGTTTGTTCCTCTGCAGATGGTTTGAGGGGAATAATTGTGTAAATTCTTGCGCTGACGACGATTTACTGTAGAACGAGTCTTTCCAGTGAGAGTTAGAGGCTCCGAGCTGCAGAACACGACGACTCGGTTCGTTCGTTGGAGGCAAAACGTCGACAGAAAGCCGTGACCGGTGTGAATAAAGAAAGAAGGAACCTGTGTGATCCTGCAGCTCTGACAAATGAAACGTCTGCGTGACTCTGCAAGAACCAAAGTTTAATGAAGTTCTGTTTCCTACCAGGAGAAAATATCGGAGCTGTCGGCGGAGAAGGAGGATCTGAGCGAGAAGCTGGAGGCCGAAGAGGAGCGACGGAGGCGAATCCTGTCCGACAAGAATCTGGTAAAACCTGAGAACAGACGCGTTGGCTTCCAGCGGTGGGAAGTGACGGAGAGCATTTAGTCACGTGCTGCACCGACGTGTACCTGATGTAGGAGTTTGTTCTTCACCACGTTTATCCGACAGCTTGATGAAGACATAACAGGATTTAAAAATACAACTCAAGAGTTTAAACCAGCAGCGTGATGAGTAGCAACAATAAAATGTCCCAGAAAACATCATCAAATGTGTAAAGAAATAATAAAATGTCTGCTAATTTTGGAAACGTCCAAAACTTTTAATAAAATGTGATTAAAAAAATAACAGAAAAGATCAACGTTTGTAAAGATAACTAAATCTCCCAAATATTAAAATGAACAAAATGTTTTAATAAAGGACGAGAAAACAAACGTGCAGAATTTATAATCAATAAAGATGTCCCAGAAATGGCCCCAGAACATGAATACAATGTGTTGACATGAGCAGATGAATGAATGAATGTGACCTGAAGCCTGACTGTGTGTTTGTGCAGAAGGACTCGCACACGGTTTACCTGGAGCAGGAGCTGGAGAGCCTCAAGGTGGTCCTGGAGATCAAGAACCAGCAGCTGCACCAGAAGGACAAGAAGCTCATGGACATGGACAAGCTGGTGAGAGCTCCAGAACCCGCCGCTCATCAGAACCACAACCCAGACACAATGGCTGGACCTTCAGCCTTATCTGAGCCGAACACGGTGACGCTTCATGAATCACTTTATTTTGAAACTCAGAGCGTTACCAGGAAGTCATGAGTGACTCAGTTTTAACAAATTAAAAGCGTAAATAGTAAAATATCAGCGAGTTATTTGTAAAATGTGCAAAAAAAGAAAAGAAAAAAAAGCAGATTTTCACAAAATGGCCCCAAAATATTCAACAGTTTTAAATTTTCAGAAAAAATGATAAAATCTGAGAGAAAATGAACAAAAAGTTCCAGTAAAGGAGAAAACAAATGTTTAAAGAAGAAGAAGAGCCTGTTTTTTAATTCTGATAGTCGACGGTAGCGTCTCCCTGACCGGAGTTCAGAACACGTGACTGATGCGTCGCTGCTCTGTGCAGGTGGAGGCCAACGTCAAGCTGGAGGAGAGTCTGACCCGAGTGCAGCAGGAGAACGAGGACTACAAGGCCCGCATGGACCGGCACGCCGCCCTGTCCAAGTAGGGCCGCATGCTAACATGCTAACACGCAGCCCTCTGTCTCCCCC